GTGAATATTATTTCTTTTTTGTTTCAAAATTATATATATATCAATATCTATATATATGTTTTAGAATGAGACGACAGGGCCGTTTTTTACCCGTTCCGTTTTGCCGTTCTTTTGCCGGTTCCGACTCCGTTTGAATTCCGGTTCCGTCACCATTCTTTTGCGGGTTCCCGCTCCGGTTCCAATCCTGAAGCCGTTTTTGTTGACGTTTCCGGTCGCCGTTTTTTTGCCGTTTCCATTTTGAAGGGGCACTTTTCCGGAAACGGTGAAAAAACGGCCCTGCCGTTTCCGGGGCCCACTAAGGTATGGGGGAAGTGGGGAAGGCTCCTTAGACCTTAGGAGGCTGCGTCAAAGAAGGCGCCAGCCTTCCACCTGCAGACGAGGCCCGCGCCTTCCAAACAGCAGGGATGCTTCTCAGATTAGTTCGGGCATGTCCTCCCACATGCTGTTTCTGGAAGAGGCATAGAACACGCAACATCCAATAATCATCGTTAGTCCAACAAGCCCGAACCATCGTCACCAGACTGATTTCTCCCGTTCTTGAAGATTCTGCCTGTAGAGAGACATACCCGACTTGATTATACGAGGCCTTCCCCCCTCCCTCTGCCCCCCTCTGCGCGTGGCGTCGGTTTTCGGTCCATAACTCGGGCCTCAGGCGGTCGTTTGGGAGGACGCAGGCACCCCTGGAACGCTCTCGGCGAGGCGCAAGTGCTGGAGAGCGTCCCGAGGCTGGAAACCGCCGAGAGCCCACGAACACCGCCGAACGCCGCCGAAAAGCAACGAAGATCCCCCCTCTGCGCGTGGCCGACACCAGCGCGACGTGAGAAGCCTGCTCCCCAGGGGGGGGGGGCGTGATGGTTCGTACCCTTCGGCGGTGGACAAACCTCCTTGTAGTAAGCCACCCTTTAGTGAAAACGCCCTAAGACCGAAACCGACAGACCTGGACCCGCAAACATGACGGCCGCGATGCCCTCTCGCGAACCCAAAACTGCCAATTCGCTAATCGACGTGTCAGGGTAGGAGGTCTATCAACCTCCTAATCCTTGAGCATTCTGTCGGACCGGTTCCGCAGCCTGTGGCCCACTGTTGCGCCGCCGTCTTGCAGCTCTCGTCGAGCTCTAGCTGATGGAATGGGCCCCTCGACCCTCCAGGGGAAGAAGAGAACATCAACATGGCAAGGAACGAATCTGCTTACGATTAAGTCGGGCCTGTCCCTCTGCAGGAAGAGTATTCAACAATAGTCGTAACATAATCCAGAATCGAGAAACCGCATGTAGGGTTATGTCGGGCCTGTCCTCCCTACAGGGGGATCTTGGGCGAAAAAATGAATACCCCAAAGATGCCCCCAAAATTGCAAAAAAATAGCCCCCAGACTATTTTGAACCATTCTTGAATATTCTCCCTGTGGATCGGGTCGGGCGAAAGGGGGGGATAGCAAAGGGGGGGGTTGAGAATCAGCTCACGTAACTGATTTTCCCGGCGCCTCCCGGCGCCAGAGGCGGCTATGTATCGAGGAATGGGCCCCTCGGTGAGGCTGAAACCAGCTGCATGCAGCAAATTTCGCAACCCCCCCTTTCCCAATCACCCCCTTTCGCCCAGCCCGAGTGGAGGGACAGGCCCGACTTGACTGCAGGGGGACATGCCCGACCTAAAGCCCACGGGAGGGGGGCCCACGCCGCGCAGACACCGAGACGTCGGAGCCCCGTGCGCCCCGACATGCGCTCCGGCCGCGCCAGCCGAGGCGCTGCGCGCCGCGGCCGCGCGGGCCGCTGCCTCTAAGTCGGGCGCGTCCACCTACAGGTGGATTTTCGACGAACAATAAAAAAAATCCAAAAATACTCCCAAATGGTTTAAGAAATACTCCAAAAATAGTTCCCGGACTATCTTTTGACTATTTGGGAATATCCCCCCTGTAGAAGGACAGGCCCGACTCAACGCTACCTCCTCGTCATTCGCCGTCCTCCTCCTCCCCTGAGATCCTGGCGCTGCAACTCGCTCACAGCAAGCGGTTTCCGCCCGGTTTCTCGGCACGGATCGATCTGGCCCGAGAGATGCCGCTGACGGATGGGCCCTGGGAGGGTCGTGCTTTCTCGGGGTCTCGCCATTCGCTTCGCGACGTCGGACCTCAGAAAACATCGCCAGGCCGGCGCGTACATAGGCATGTGGGACGTCCCCCAAAAAAGGGCCTCGCCCTTGAGGGACGGGAGGTTGACACGTCCTCCCTGGCAGAAGCCAAGGGTCGGATGGTGCCAAAGTGCCCCTGGCCCAAGGTACCCCCCGCTTTTCGCCTCATTTTTGGGCCCCTGTGGGGCCCTCTGGGCCTCGTTAGGGATGCTCTGATGCTCTGGAGGCCGTCTGGGCCACCCCGAGAATCCTGGGGGCACCTTGGGCCAGGGGCACTTCTATGGGAGGCTTGGAAATGGACACCAACACCAACACGCGGGGTTGCCTCTACCTGGGGAAGATGGTCCCAGATTGTGGTATGGAGGCCCGAAAATTACCACCAGCACCGAGGTCGGAACCTTCTTCCCTCGGTGGAGGCACGCCTCCGAAATTGGTGTTGGTGTCAACCTCTGGGCTTAGGTCGGGCATGTCCCCGTACAGGGGGATTGTGGACGAAAGGACGAAAAAATTAAAAATACTCAAAAAAATACAACGCAAATATTGAAAAATTGTAAAAATAGTCCCCAGATCATTTGTTCCCAACCATCCTGTGGTGTTGGGTCCTCGTTTTGAAGAGACAGCGCCCCGCGTTCCTTCCTTCCCGCTGCCCCCTCCCTCCTCCCATCTTCATCATCATCGTCATCACCCATTTCGGCACACCCCTCACACGTTTCGTGGCCCCATAGGGAGCTCCACCGAAGGTCCCAGTGGGTGTGCCCGCATGCGTCCCGCACACCCATTTCGGCACACCCCTCACACGTTTCGTGGCCCCATGGGGGGCTCCACCGAAGGTCCCAGTGGGTGTGCCCGCATGCGTCCCGCACACACATTTCGGCACACCCCTCACACGTTTCGTGACCCCATAGGGAGCTCCACCGAAGGTCCCAGTGGGTGTGCCCGCATGCGTCCCGCACACCCATTTCGGCACACCCTTCACACGTTCGTGGCCCCATAGGGAGCTCCACCGAAGGTCCCAGTGGGTGTGCCCGCATGCGTCCCGCACACCCATTTCGGCACACCCCTCACACGTTTCGTGGCCCCATAGGGAGCTCCACCGAAGGTCCCAGTGGGTGTGCCCGCATGCGTCCCGCACACCCATTTCGGCACACCCTTCACACGTTTCGTGGCCCCATAGGGAGCTCCACCGAAGGTCCCAGTGGGTGTGCCCGCATGCGTCCCGCACACCCATTTCGGCACACCCCTCACACGTTTCGTGGCCCCATAGGGAGCTCCACCGAAGGTCCCAGTGGGTGTGCCCGCATGCGTCCCGCACACCCATTTCGGCACACCCCTCACACGTTTCGTGGCCCCATAGGGAGCTCCACCGAAGGTCCCAGTGGGTGTGGCATGCGTCCCGCACACCCATTTCGGCACACCCCTCACACGTTTCGTGGCCCCATAGGGAGCTCCACCGAAGGTCCCAGTGGTGTGCCCGCATGCGTCCCGCACACCCATTTCGGCACACCCCTCACACGTTTCGTCCACGTTTCGTGGCCCCATAGGGAGCTCCACCGAAGGTCCCAGTGGGTGTGCCCGCATGCGTCCCGCACACTCATTTGGCACACCCCTCACACGTTTCGTGGCCCCATAGGGAGCTCCACCGAAGGTCCCAGTGGGTGTGCCCGCATGCGTCCCGCACACCCATTTCGGCACACCCCTCACACGTTCCGTGGCCCCATAGGGAGCTCCACCGAAGGTCCCAGTGGGTGTGCCCGCATGCGTCCCGTCGTCTCTCTGCCCAGCGGCAAGAGCCTTGCCCGCTATCAGCCAGCCAGCTAGCTCTTTTTGCTCCGCGCAGTGGACGACCCGCGCGCGTCGCTGGGACCCCTCCGGGGCGACCTGCGCGCGTCGCGGGGACTCCGCGCTGCGCTGCGCCCGCAACCTTGGACTTTTGAGTGCGCGGGCAAAGAGGGAGTAAAGGAAGGGGAGGAAGCGGGCGCGATCCTCGCCGGTGGGCGCGCCGACATTGGCGTCGCGGCGCGCGGGCGATGCCGTCGGGGAGTCCCGGGGAAGCTCCTTGCGGCGGCCACGCCCAGCGTCACGAGTACTCAGAGGCAGACATTGTCAAACTATTGACATTCATACACAATTGCGCCACGCTTTGTCATATTCGCATTCATGCACGTAGACTCGTTCGCACGCAGATTCATTCACAGTCAGACGCACGCGCGCAGATTCACCCGCGCTCAGTCTCCCTACGTACTCAGATCAATCGTTTTCGTTCGCGTTGTGTACCACGCCACTCATGTCGGCACACCCCTAGCACGGTTCGTTGCCTCATAGGGATCGCCACCGAAAAAGTGAATCACTATTGCGGTACTCACAC